TTAAATAACGAAACGCAAAAACCCCAAAAAACGAATCGATTTTAGAAACAAATTTTTCCGTTGTTACCCAGAGACTCAGCGTCTGTCTGATGCACCTACTACCAGTTGTAGGAGAAAACGTGGCTTAGAGAATGATGAAGAGCAGCAGCAGCTGAAAAGGATCAGGGACTTGTTTCTAGAGACTACTGATGAGGAGGATTTTGTGGGCTTTACTCACGAGGAAATGGTGCTAGATGACTACAGAGGTGTAAAAAGAGTAGCCAGCAGCTCTAATAGTGATGTGGGGTCTGTTGCTAAACGTCTGAGAGACGTAGCTGACTGTGCAGACTTTGACAGCGAAGAGGAAGAGCTGGACTGGACTAAAGTTCAGGAAGTAATGGATGTTCTTAACGCCCCCACATCTAGCGATGAATTCCAGGGTTTTAATGATGTTACTTTGCAGGATGCAGCCCGAAGTGCTGAGTGGCAGCAATGGCGTGGCTTCAATTCACCTGAGGGTTTAGATCCAGCTGAAAGCAGCTCCAGCGATTCGGATGAAATTTAAGGAGCGGTTTGGGGACCATCTAATCGCAGAGTTCAAAGTGTCGCATGCTGTGTGCTTTGTGTTAACTCCTGCCGTGAGCTCTTGTTGCAGCTTCGTGTTCCTGTTCGTGTGATCATCTCTGCCGGACCCTGACTCGTGAGTGTGCCTTGTTCTGACCCTTGGACTGCCTGACTACGCCTCTGCCTTGCCCCAGAATCTTCGTTGGACCGCTCTCCATACGGAGTGTTGTTTGCTGATTTGGACTATGTTTGTATGCTGAAGATAAGCTGCCTATTTGTGTTAAAGACTGCCTTCTCTTTCGCTGACTCAAGCCGGTTTGTTTACATTACTGCTGACTGCAAGCTCCTTTTGTTTATCCCTCTGAAGTGAAGAGGCCTTTTGTTTTGTTAAAGAGACATTAAACACCTTCAATTAACTCCTGCATTGCTGTTTTGTCCTGCCGCTGGACCTGGGTCGTGACACCAGGCCTAGTGTTCAATTGTGCTCAGTTTTTTATTAGCAGCCATGTGCTATATAAATCTTGTCTCTAAAACCAAGATTATAGCCATTATGAGAAACAAAAGAATGGCTGCTTATGAAATTGATGCTAAGAAGAAACTTCTCTACCAATTTAGTCCTCTGATTTGAGCTGTTGGTCATTTTAGAGTTTTTCTGCAATGCAAATTATTTTCACTACTAATGAGTAAGCACAGTTTGCCTTACTGTGGGATGAATGACAGGTGGCAGATAGGTTCATAAAGCCACTTCTGAACTGGACTTCAAGCCAAAGGTAGGTATTCAGCTGGCATGTAACTTAATTCTAGGTTTAATGACGTGAGCAGAGAAAGTGTAGATATGATGATTATATGGGTGGAAGAAAATGAGCCTTTGAAGTTTCCCCATTACTAGCCATTATTTATAATGACACCTCTTCCATGCAGTGATTGCATACACACCCTGGCTTCACAAACCAACATACAGTCCATTTGCAAGTCTCATTACTGCCTCTCCCACGCAAGGAATGCAGAAGCCATATGATAAGTCTATTCCCTCTGCTTTTTCTATTAAGGCTCCCGTTCAAACTGCTTGGCTCTCCATGGCATTGCTATTACAGGATTTCCTCTCCAGCTGCACTTGTAGGAGTCACCTGCCCATTCTGCCCCAGGGCCCACACCTGTCCATTTCCCTCTTCTCCCTGCTTATTTTTAAAAATTAAGAAGGTCTCTCTCTCTCTCTCTTTTGCCATATCCCTTTTCAGATACCGAGTACCACATGGGCAAGTACAGTGTGTGTACCTCCCTTCCCCCCCTCCCCCTTCAAGGTCCAATTTCATTATGCGGATAGTCAGACCATGGCTGAGACATCACTGTTCTTTCCCTTGCAGCTGCCAACTGCATACTGCTAGCAGTTCTCTCACCGAAACCCGTTGTTTGAGGAGTGAGTTAAGTCTTAAAACCATCTTTAAAGGAACAGCATTGACAGAAACACACAAAAATGCAGCATACTATGCTAAAATATTTAAAAATCAAGAAAGAGGAAGAAGGGGAAAAAGTCAACATACATGAAAGGATGAGAATTTAAGAAGATGGCAGAGGGATTTTGCCAACGTCTGATTTGAATACTAAAATGTAAATAAGCAATCATGTTCTACAAATACTAACTCACAAATTATTATTGTTGTTGAAGGCTTTCATGGCTGGATCACTGGGTTCTTGTGAATTTTGGGGCTGTATTATATTATTATTATTATTATTATTATTATTATTATTATTATTATTTACTCATCTCTTTTCATGAATGGTGGTGACTTACTACTACTACTACTACTACTATATTTATATCCCACTTTTTCTCTCCACAAAGGGACTCAAGGTGATTTACATTAAAAGCATTTCAATACAAATTAAAATCTACAAATATCCAAACATTAAAACAGAATTAATTATGTATTGTCGAAGGCTTTCATGGTCAGAATCACTGGGTTGTTGTAGGTTTTTCAGACTGTATGGCCATGTTCTAGAAGCATTCTCTCTTGACGTTTTGCCTGCATCTATGGCAGGCATCCTCAGAGGTTGTGAGGTCTGTTGGAAACTAGGAAAATTGGGTTTATATATCTGTGGAAAGTCCAGGGTGGGAGAAAGAACTCTTGCCTGTTGGAGCTAGGTGTGAATGTTTCATTTGGCCACCTTGATTAGCATTTGATGGCCTGATAGTTTTTAGGTGTGGCTTGTTACTGCCTGAAATCCTTTGTTGAGAGGTGATTAGGTGTTCCTGGTTGTTTCTTGTCTGGAGTTCCCCTGTGTTTGAGTTTTGTTCTTTATTTACTGTTATAATTTTAGAGTTTTTTTAATACTGGTAGCCAGATTTTGTTCATTTTCATGGTTTCTTCCTTTCTGTTGAAATTGTCCACATGCTTGTGGATTTCAATGGCTTCTTTGTGTAGACCTGACATGGTAGTTGTTAGAGTGGTCCAGCATTTCTGTGTTCTCAAATAATATGCCATGTCCAGGTTGGTTCATCAGGTGCTCTGCTATGGCTGACTACTCAAACACAGGGGTACTCCAGACAAGAAACGATCAGGAATAGCTAATCATCTCTCAACAAAGGATTCCCATGGTCATACAGCCCAAAACAACTACAACAACCCAGAATTAATTATCATTGGTATTAATAAATTAAGTTTAAATCCATAAAAACATATTCAAAACTAAAAACCACATGATTGTACATGTTGTATTTTAATAAGTTGCTGTTCCTTTCTTTAAAAGGAACAGCGACTTATTAAAATACAACATGTACAATCACACACAAAACCCAGTTAAAACATGAGTTTTAAAAAACATATTTATTCAATACACATTAATACATATGAGTGTTATTATTGCTACCAGTCCTACTACATAATTTTGCCCACATGCTGTCATATTTACTCTTTTAACAACTCTGCTCACAGAAAACAAGCTGAATAACATCCAAGCTGTTTGTCTAGACATGGTACTTCAGTGCCACTTTTAAGCAATTGTTGTTGTCTTGACTCACATGTGATTTGGTCACCAACTCAAAGCAAGAAAAACCAATTGACCCAAAAGCACAAAATGTAATCCATGATGCTGGACCCAACTGCAATAATCAGGGACCATCACAATCCAAGACACTTTAAATTATTCTACCCTAAATTAAGACACCAGGGATTACAGACTCAAACCCAGCCTGTGTGGAACGACTACACTTGCCCACACTTTTTTTACATCTCACAATTCACTACTATAGATACTATAGATACTATTCCATGCAAACAAAAGGACAATAATCTAGATTCTGGGCTACAGCCCTATCCCACTAAGGAGCTCCATTTCCTCCAACAAAGGTATGGATCCTGGAGAGGTTCTTTCAGGAAAGTAGTGCTCTTCAAAACTAGTCTCTTCCCTGGGATCTGTCCAGAGTACTGAAAGGTCTGTCTCTGACCTCTCTTGCTTTCAAGAGAATACAAACAAAATGTATGATAGTGCCGTATTCCAACTATGTAATCTAGTGTCCTACCCAGGATGCTTCATCTAGACTTTGCTGAATTACCTCCACACTCTCGCATAACTATTATATGGCCTGGTTAAATTATCAAAGACAACTCTAAATCTTATTTCGAGCAGGCCAAGGAAGAAGAATGGCTCTTCATCAGAAATAATTTCCTGATTTGGCACACAGCAAGGAAATGGTCCAAACACTACCATGGAGGAAATATTAAGTTCTTAATGCCGCAAATATTTCAAACACTGTCCTAGTTAATGCTGTACACCTAAGATGGATTTTGGACTTTTCCCTCTTCTCAAACATAGAATTTCTATATAAGTGGCGACATGAAGACAGTTTTCCCTAAGTGGTTCAGGGTTCACTGCATTGATGAGGAAGTTTCACATCAATAAATAAACCAAATTCATAGACCCACCATATAAATAGGATGAAAACAATCAAATGAAAGTCAAAATATGAAATGGAAACAGAAGATAATAGATAATATAGATTTCAAATTTTTCTTTCAAGTTCAAAGGATTGCCTCTCAAATGAGGCAATGAACAACCTGATTGAGCTGCTTTAGTAGAAACAGAGGGAAATGAAAAGAAAAGTGGATCCAAGAGCTTGGCAGTAGTAAGAAATGGGGGAAATGGAGCTTTAATATGAGCAAAGAAAAGCAGAAACATCATATCACATGTCCACTACCCAGAAGATAAGTTTGTAAAAGAGATAGTGTATATCCTCTTTTATCCATTTTATGACTGCAAGCCTTTTCCCTTACAGAACCTCCTAGCCAAGCTTGGTTGCTTGTGCGTAAACAAAGATGGGACGTCTGAAACTTTCGGTTGTCATCAAGTATGTCTCTCAGACCTAAAGTATGGACTCAATTATGCACAAGTTCAAATAATTCATGAAAAATTGGGTTCTTTGGGTATAAAAGGGGCCATAATTGAATAGTGTCACTCACCTGGACAAGAAGAGTTTCCCCTGAAGTTTCAGGTCAGCGGCACAGTCATCTGATTGACAGTTCCTCTCAAACACAGTCTAGAAGAATGAAAAATAATAATTAATAGGGAGGTATTAAGAAATTGGACACGGGTAAATTCTTGCCTGGATATGTAAGAACAAGCAAATGCTTCTCAAGAAACTCAGCCAACTGGGGCAAAACCCTTGAAGAACCTTTTGAGGCAAATGCAATGGGAGAACCATCCAAGTATGGACCACATTGCTTCCATTATCACAGAGACTATACTATGTAATAAAATTTGAAGAGTTTTCTGTTGTTGGGTTGAAACTGTGATTTCCTGCTTAATTGTGCAGTATTTCCTTTGACAGTAGTTTTTATACTCCAGAAACTTTGTTTTTGTGGTTGCCACAAATTATGTTGAGACTCTATGAGATATTCACTGAAAAACTATAGCAAAATGTGCTACAGGATGTCCAGCAGAAACAAAGTTTTTGCAGTTTACTAACCTTTTCCCATGTTTTAATGATAGAACCAATTAGGAAATGACATTTATAACCAAGGAACAAAAACCATGCTACACAGAGTTCTTCTCAAAACAATGATGATAAAAGAGTGAGAGACCAGAAACCAAGCTACGAAGCTTGGCTAGGAGGTTCTGTAAGTGCTTTCCAATTAGCAAAGATTTATGCCATCACAGAACCAACTCCACCGCAATATGCTCATAGAACCATAGAATATGAGACCACAAAAACCATCCAGCCCAAGCCTTAGCCATGCAGGAATACACAATCAAAGCACTCCTGACAGATAGTCTTCTAGCCTCTGCTTAAAAGGCTCCAGAATAGAACTCCACCACACCGCTAGGGAACATATGCCAAGGCTGAACAGGTTCTACTGGTAGACACAACCTGGCAATAGTTCTGGAGATATGTTGAATCCACATAATCTAATCTCATCATTCCCCTGATACATCCCTCATGTGTTACTCAATAGTTGTTCAAGGAAAGGAAGATGACTCTTCAGAGCAACTCATGCACTAGCAGCAGAGACACAGCTGGGCAATAAGTGTTGCTCTGCCAGATAATCTATACACACACACACACACACACACACATCAGCTGGCATTCTGTGAGTGACATAGTCTTGAGTAAGTGACACTATTCATGTGGGGAAATTCTCATAGCAAAACATACATATTCTGTTAACAGTGCCAGAAAGAGAGTTATGCACACAGTAATCTTGCACATTGTGCTTATATTTATTTACAGTATATATTTACAGTATTTATATTCCACCCTTCTCACCCTGCAGGGGACTCAGGGCAGATTACAATGTACATATATGGCAAATATTCAATGCCAAGACACACAACATAGACAAGACAGTCAGAGGCTATTTAACTTTTTCTGGCCGCCAGGGGAGCTGTCGCTTTCATCGTCCATCTGCGACACTGAAGAAGTACTTCCACATTCCCCACATGCTTTTGCTGGAGTGCTTTGCTGGAGTCTTTTTTATGGCCTCGTAAATTAGTTAAATTAGCCTCCCCACACATAGGTGGTACCTAAATTTCCTACTTGACAGATGCAACTGTCTTTCGGGTTGCAAAGGTCGACAACAAGCTACACAATTGGTCGGACGCTCACTCCGACCCAGGCTGGCTTCGAACTCATGACCTTTTGGTCAGAAGTGATCTTAATGCAGCTGACACTCAGCCACAATCCCGGTGCTTGCAGTTATACACTGCAGTTCGAAACAACAGCACTCAGTCATAGTTATGTGCTATGCAATGTAGCTATTCTTGCAAAACTTGGACCGCAGGACCGCAGGGTTAACATCCCAAGAACAGGATTGCTCTGTCCATTGCTTATAGCTTACTGTTTCAGCTCTGCATAGATTGTTTCATGTTTGTATTTGTATGGCTTTCATGCTACAACATTTGCTGATTAAAGTCGCCTTGAAACTGAACTGAAATTAAAATTTATTGATTCTGTAAGGTGCCTCCCCATAAATTCCTTGAACACCAGGTAGGTAGGTAGAATTTAATTTTTGTAGGAAAAATGTTTAGAAATATTTTAAAAATGGGCTAATAAAGAGAACCATAAAGGAAACTATATTCCTTGGACAGATTTAAATGTGAGACACAATAACAATAAATAATCATCTCTGCTTGGTCAAGATTCCCCTTCCTTCTTACATCTATTAATCACAAAGCAAAGTTGCTTTTTACTGCAAATGGACAGCCCCTTAGCTATTTATAGAGCACATCTAATAAAACATATCTCATGAATCCCAACACATGCACCTGATCTTATCTCACTGGTGGCAAGTAATTAACATTCCTGAACACTTTCCAGGATTTAATTACATGGGTTGGCTATAAGACAAAGTAATTGGCAGAGTATTTCCACAGAGAGCCATAGCAGGTGAAGCAGATGAGAATGAATTCCTTAAGAGCTATAAATGTAACAAGAAATCTTCTATTAAACAAACCAGACATACTAATGTAAGAGGTGAACAGGAACAGCTGTGAAATTCCTAAGGGTGATGGGAAAGCATTCAGTTCCATGAAGATGATAGTATTGTTCACAGAAAGGTCTGGTTTTACCTATGGAACCGGTGGAATATACGAGGGTCGAATGAAAAGTAATGCCTCCACTGGGTTGTTGTAGGTTTTTTCGGGCTACATGGCCATGGTTGAGAGACATTCTCTCCTGACGTTTCGCCGGCATCTATGAGGTAGTGAAGTCTGTTGGAACTAGGAAAAAGGGTTTATATATCTGTGGAATGACCAAGGTGAGACAAAGGACTCTTGTCTGCTGGAGCTAGGTGTGACTACTTCAACCAGAGAAATCAGCCATAGCAGAGCACCTGTTGAACCAACCTGCACACAGCATTTTGAGAACACAGAAATGCTGGACCACTCTCACAACCACCATGTCAGACTACACAGAGAAGCCATTGAAATACACAAGCATGTGGACAATTTCAACAGAAAGGAGGAAACCATGAAAATGAACAAAATCTGGCTACCAGTAATAAAAAAATAAATAAATGCATCAAATAAAAAACTCTAAAATTGCAACAGCACAACAACAGAAGGGAAACAAACAAGGACATTTTATCACCTCTCAACAAAAGTTGGCTCCAGACACTGTCGGGCCATTATGTGCTAATCAAGGTGATCAGTTGAAACATTCACACCTAGCTCCAGCAGACAAGAGTCCTTTGTCTCACCCTGGTCATTCCACAGATATATAAACCCTTTTTCCTAGTTCCAACAGACCTCACTACCTCTGAGGATGCTTGCCATAGATGCAGGCGAAACGTCAGGAGAGAATGCCTCTAGACCATGGCCATATAGCCTGAAAAAAACTACAACAACCCAGTGATTTCGGCCATGAAAGCCTTCGACAATACATTAATGCCTCCACCTTCGTTACTTGGGTTTGGATAGGAATATTTTAATAAATCAAATGCAGAAATAATCCTTAGAATGTGCTCTTTAACTAACACTATTCACTTTTCCACATAGTCACCAGACAATTGGATACATTTCTACCAACGATGAATCCATTACGGAAGAAGTTGACACTCTGTTTCCGCAACTCATCGTGCACAGATCTTCCGATAGCCAAGCAAAACAATAATGTGACCCATACGTTCTTGTGAAATGCCGATTATACTTGAAATTTCTCTCTGAGTGATACGACGATTGTCCTGAATCAATCTGTCAACCTTTTGCTTGTGAAACTCGGTGGTTGCTGTCACAGGACGTCCAACTCTTTGCTTGCAGGTCAGATGTTCCCACCTCAACATCTTTAAACTTACTCGCCCAACGACGCACAGTACTCACATCAACACAATCACCATAAACAGCTTGCATTCTCTGATGAATCTCCTTTGGGGTGACACCTTCTGCTGTCAAGAATTCAATGACTGCATGTTGCTTAAGTCGCATTGACCGACTGTCTGCGCAGGGTTCCATACTTCACACTTTAACAACACAACCGTTCAATGCTAAGGCTTCCCAACAAAATGGAACTGTAGAGGAGAGTCTACTGAACAAGCCAGTATCTGCTGCATACCAGTACTGCCATCTGTTGAGGAGTTACGAAGGTAGAGGCGTTATTTTTTATTCAACCCTCGTAAATATAGGAACCTATGGAAACCCTATACAAGCAATGGATAGAATAAATTGTGATAATCCCCTAGCCAAAGCAGGATGATCACAATTCAAGAAAAAATGAAGTCTTTGGTTACTGAAAACAATACTTTTCACATTCACCCAGCCATACCAGCACCTCAGTCATCACAAAATCCAGAATGACAACAAATACTCAGGGTGCATTGAACATATCATATATGATTAGAAACTTCTAATATTGAAGCAGGATTTATATCACCATTATTATCAACGCCCCTTATAAAAATGTCTATTGAGGCAAGCATGAAAGCTAAAGTAGGATAAGAGTTGAATCCCATTCAAATACTATATGTATTCCTCCTGCCTCCCTAATTACAGAGTTTTTCGAGTGTGCAACTACTTCTGTTCAAATTCAGATCTGAATTAATTCCAGCTCCAGCTTTCCCTCCCACTTACTGACCCGATTTGTTGAAGGACAAACCATTTCAAAGTTCATCTCTGTCCAATTATATTATAATGCTGGGCGGTTGAAAGGTTTCCTGGCATGGAAAGCGGCCATTCCCACCAATTCACCCAGAGCATTCATTTCTGGCATGTGAGACCAGGTAAATATTTATGGGTGGGACAAACACATTAGAGATTCCATTCACTCAGAGGTGGAGTTGAAAATATTTTGAATTGAACAAGGAGGGAAGGAAGGGGAAAATTGCTTTTCCTGTAATAAAGGAAGATTTGTATCTTGGTCAAATGGGGAGTGTTAGAGACTCCTGCTATCTGTTCTATCTAGAGTTCTCACTACTCAATAATTTTCTGCTACAGCATACAGATACACTAAAGGCTGGCTAACAATCCTGCATCATTATTTTCTTCCTAATCTTTAGTACAGGTCCTATATTAGCCTTCTGAGTTATATAAGGACATGCCTACTTATTATCCTAACTGCTCTCTGGCCATTCCTCACACAGGGTTTCCACACACGTGACTTCTGGCTGCAATGAGACTTTCTTCTATTGTATGAAATATTTCCTTACTGCTTACAGACCTGAGATGGTAATAATAATAATATTATAATAATAACTTTATTTTTATAGCCCACCAACCATCTCCCCAAGGGGACTCGAGGCAGCTTACAAGGGACAAGCCCAAAATTACAAGTAAAACACAACAGATTAAAAACATCAGATAAAATGTGAGGTCTTACAACCTCTGAGGGTGCTTGCCATAGATGCAGGCAAAACGTCAGGAGAGAATGCCTCTAGAACATGGCTGTACAGCCCGAAAAAACCTACAACAACCCAAAATTCTTGTTATTGTTGGTTAGAGCTTGTGCTTCTCAAACTTTGGCCTTCCAGAAGTTTTGGACTTTAGTTCCCAGAATTCTTGACTGTTGACCAAATTGGCTGGAGTCTTCTAGGAAGTGAAGTCCAAAGTAATTGAAAGACCGAAGTTTGAGAGCTGGATTAAAATGGCAGAGCTCACTGGAAAAACTTGGGCCAGTCCCTATTTCACAGGATGGTTGTGATGGTAAAAATGGCAATGGAGACAATGAATTTCACCTTGGGATATAAAAAAAATATTACAGATAAAACAACGCAACATACGGACATATCTCCTTAAGTAAATGTAACATAACTGAGTAAATACAACATTTCAGTTTCACATCACAGGAATGTAATTTATGCATTACTTTTATCACCATACTAAGAATTTAAAGCCAGGCATTCAGAAAAAAATTAATGCACAGAGTTTGTAATGATGGGCCAAAAACACAAAGTTACAAATTCCACGGCACCTTTTGGGCATAAGGTTACACAAGACTGTGCTTTAAGCAAAGCATTTGTGAAATATTTTATTTGTACCTTTAACTGGTGTTTTAAACAGCTTTTCAAGGTGAATTAGCCCCCAAGGCACTTTAGAATAGGAAAGAAAGCATTATAATAAAACTACATAAAACTTTTAAAAGTTGTTTTTATATTACAATAAAACAGAACCGTAAAGATTAGAAAACATATGAAGACTCTTTCTTCAGTGAGGGGGAGTCCAAACAAGAATACCAGAAAAACATAAGGAATGGGCTAACTTTTCCTCCAAGTTCAAGTCAATAACTTAAGGGTTTCCAAAAAGCAACCCTAAATCTGGCCTCACATGGCAGGGCAAACCATTAGTTCAGAAGCAAGGACACATTTTGTCCTTCTTTTAGAATCCCATGAGACTTTCGAGTTTGTTTTACACAATTTCTGACCTGATTTCTCTGAGCCATCTTCTGTCCTCTTTTCCATCGAAGTACAGGCCTCAGCGCAGGTAATTCTTTCTCCTGTTTTGACACGGTATGTTCTCCAAGGCTATACACAGCTTCAAATACAATTGGTGAGATCACATCTTTGACTCTTCTCTGTAGAATAAGAGAGAGAGAGAGAGAGAACTATATAAGTCAAAGCATGAAGAAGGCTCTCCTTGGAAGCTGGAATATGTAAGGGAAATATCAACAATGCACCATTTCCGTGCTCTTTTCCACACCAATATTTATCTCACTTTTTAACCCACAGTTTCCCCTATTTACACTTCAAATTGAAATTATGACACTTTCACATTTCAGGCTGAAACACAGGGGTTAAATTACTGTTAAATGCTTTTGTTGTCTCCATATTTCAAATTTTGTGTTTCCTTTGTGGAAACCAAGCGATCTACTTCAACAAAATTCTTTATCTTTGTGACAAAAACTGACTCCGGCAATGCATACATAGAATAATAGAATCATAGAATCATAGAGTTGGAAGAGACCTCATGGGCCATCCAGTCCAACCCCCTGCCAAGAAGCAGGAATATTGCATTCAAATCACCCCTGACAGATGGCCACCAAGCCTCTGTTTAAAAGCTTCCAAAGAAGGAGTCTCTACCACACTCCGGGGCAGAGAGTTCCACTGCTGAACGGCTCTCACAATCAGGAAGTTCTTCCTCATGTTCAGATGGAATCTCCTTTCTTGTAGTTTGAAGCCATTGTTTCGCGTCCTACAACCTTGCTCCCTCCTTCCTGTGGCTTCCTCTCACATATTTATACATGGCTATCATATCTCCTCTCAGCCTTCTCTTCTTCAGGCTAAACATGCCCAGCTCCTTAAGCCGCTCCTCTTAGGGCTTGTTCTCCAGACCCTTGACCATTTTAGTTGCCCTCCTCTGGACACATTCCAGCTTGTCAATATCTCTCTTGAATTGTGGTGCCCAGAATTGGACACAATATTCCAGGTGTGGTCTAACCAAAGCAGAATAGAGGGGTAGCATTACTTCCCTAGATCTAGACACTATGCTCCTATTGATGCAGGCCAAAATCCCATTGGCTTTTTTGCCACCACATCACAATGTTGGCTCATGTTTAACTTGTTGTCCACGAGGACACCAAGATCTTTTTCACACATACTGCTCTCGAGCCAGGCATTGTCCCCCATTCTGTATCTTTGCATTTCGTTTTTCCTACCAAAGTGGAGTATCTTGCATTTGTCACTGATGAACTTCATTTTGTTAGTTTTGGCCCATTTCTCTAATCTGTCAAGATTGTTTTGAATTCTGCTCCTGTCGTCTGGAGTATTGGCTATCCCTTGGAGTATTTGGTGTTGTCTGCAAACTTGATGATCATGCCTTCTAGCCCTTCATCTAAGACTTAAGTCATTAATAAAGATGTTGAACAGGACTGGGCCCAGGACGAAACCTGCAATCAAACACTGTCTCCTAGTTTAACAATAGATAAGGCCATCATTTGTGAATCAAACAATGGTTTCAGAAAAGAAACCACTTGAGACAATTAAACTAAATTTTGTTGTTGGCAGTACAGCTATATAGTATGACAATCTAATCATACCCTGTTACTTACTGCGTCAGACTTACATATGTTTAATCATGTGTGTGTGCATGTGATGATCTATAAATCAATTATCAGAGTATTTTCACATAATTTTCCTTCTCTTATTCCCTAGAATACCATTGGTAGTTACAGAAAAGAGTTGTGGAAAAAGACATCATTTCAGTAAAACACCGCAGAATAGAATGATCCTGTTCAACCATTCTGTGACCCCATTTATTTTTGTGACACGCTTATTTCTTAGGGAACTCCCATCTGAGTACTCCATGCCCAGTGAGCACAGCTAGTCCTTTGCAAGTTTGAGTTTTTCTGATCTGGAGGAAGGAATCTGATCTGGAGGAAAGATTCATCCTGAATAATTCTGTACTTCAACAAATCTCAGGGTCCTCCACTGATGATGACTTCCATTTCTTCCTAGATAGTGCCATTTTGGTAAATTAAGGAATAGTTATTGGTAGAATCTTTCCTGTTAACATGTACTGGCCTATCCTTGTGGCCTACAAATGTTTTGAACTACTGCCTACATCATCTCTGATGACTGCAACATCTTTCTGGGGATGATGGTAGCTGTAGTCCAAAGGACATTGAATTGTAGAAAGCTGCTGTATATAATGGCACTCTGTGGTCAATTCGAAGTCAACTCCTCAGAGAACATAACTAATAAGGTCCAAAGGGTAGGACAGAGGGTAGAATAGCTTTATCTACCTGGCTGTTCTCCAGAAAATGGCTTTTAACAAAGGAGGAGATCCAATTATTTATTTTATTTATTTATTTCCAGTATTTCTATCCTGTTCCATCTCCACCCCCGAAGAGGGACTCAGGACGGCTTACATTTCGCAGAACTTTGATGCCACTACATATAACACAGCAATATAATAACAATTAAAGCAATAAGTAAAACTTTCATTAAACAGTAAAAAAGCCAGTATTAATAGCTCGATTATTACTGATAGAATGGAGTGCTTAATCCTTTCTCCTGTTCATCCCCACATCCCAAACACATATCTTCACTCGGCTATGTATTAGCCAAAAAATGTATTAGCAGATCAAATCATAAGCTTTCAATGTTTCATATACTGTAGTATTTACAGCTAACAGAAAACTCTGTTTTATTTCTTTCTTGGTTTAAAGGGCACCATTTGGCAAAACTTGTGCATCCTGACCTGAATAAAGTGTAAGAAACAGGCGGACGTGCCAAGAGCTGATTAAATTAAATATGACATTTGGAAGAGTGGCTGGCAGCAACCAGACAACCTGTTCTACTCATTGCCTGCATTTAATGCATGATCCCAGCATTTGCAAGTGAACAAAGAGCAAGAAGCAATTAAGCCTCCCCAAAGCAGTGTTCGAGTCCTCATTCGTTTTTGGCAGTGATTGCCGAAGAACCAGAATGACATATTAAAAAAGAAAAACAGAGGTGGACATTCGATTGGTCATACCCAACTAGAGAGTGTTTGCAGGGCTTTTAGAAGACAATGCCAAAACGTAAGAGCTCTTGATGAAAAATCTGCAGTGCACCAGCCTATCATGATCCTCTCCTGTGTGGCTTCTTGAGAACAGTAGCAGATAAGCCAGGCATGGGCAAACTTTCTAACTTGGGGGCCACATGCTCTGGTATTTGCATCTTTCTAGTCAAAAGCAATGGTTGGGTCCTGTGGCCAACTCCCAACCGAACCTCAATATTACACCCCAGCTATTTTTAAAGATTTGGTGACTTTCCTCTTCACTCTTCTGACGAAAATTGTGGTGAGAGAAGTTAAATTAATCACATCCGTGGAGAGGGATGTGGCGAAATAGATTTTCTTGAAGCCACTTGCCATTCATTAAAGGTTTGGAGTGCAAAATCCAACCGATCAGTCGTTATGTCTCAGGTCCTACTCTTTAATCTCCTTGCAGATTACAGACACAAGTAACTTCTGAGAGAACATCTAGATTCAATAATAGCATGATTTGCAGGCGCTTCCTTTGTCAGCCAACGAAATGAAAACAGAACTTAGCTCCAAAGGGAAATGTAACCATTCTTGACATTACCATAAACCTTTTTGATGGTTTATTCCATGGGTGCTACAGTCTTATGATTAAGACTTTGGCAATGTTAATCTGTGTGCCTCTACACACTTTTTTTTCTTGTCTAGGGGTATTTACACCTCAGATGTTTCAAAGAATGGATGCAAGGCACAAAAGTGCTCTAATGGCAATGTCAGAGGAGACTCAAACAGAGAAGGCAGACTTCTTCATTAACTCTATTCATTAAGGATATTATCTAAACAATGATAGAAGTGAAAATCTGTATGTGTGCATGTGGCTGGGGGGCCCACTTCCACAGACAGACTTCCTCTTCTACAAACAGCTTTAAACCATAGTGTTGCGGAGCCAACAAAAGCACTCGCTCTAGTGACATTTCAGATTATAGAGAGTGCCATGAACATGTAGTCCAACCCCTGCCAATGTCCTCCCCAAACACTATGGCTCACCACCCAAGGAATGCTTTCATTCAGGGACAATTTCATTCTAGATTTTATGTGTTTCCTCCACCACAGGCAGGCATCCCAGTGTTCCTTACTCTCTCCATTGGTGTGGAATTTGCATTACACCCCCCACTGCTTCTCCCTTAACCCTTTCCTACTCTTTTTCAACTCTGTCTGCATAACAAACAGAACAGAACTAAGCAACAGCTAAACATACTGGAGGAGTTTGGGGGATTGACTCCACATGATGGAAGTTGCAGTTCACTCTGCATCAAGACAGAGCACTTTGATCCCCATTGAAAATGGATCTGGACCACATTTGGCACACAGAAACTCCATGACCAAAGAAAAATACTGGAGAGGTTTGAGGGGAATTCTCCCTGATTTATAGCCATGGTAGGTACTGGGATTTACAGAGCACTCTGGACCCCATCAATGATGGCCCTGGACCTAACTTAGCACACAGAACCCACATGACCAACAAAAAATGGAGGAGGGCTTTGGGGAAAATTCACCTTGGTTCATAGGAATTATAGTTCAGAGAGCACTGTGAATGTAAACAACAATGGATCTGCACCAAATTTGGCATGCATATCCAACATGCCTGTTTGAATACTGGTGGATTTGGGGTGGAATTGGCCTTGACATTTGGGAACTGTAAGTACTGGCATTTATAGCTTACCTGCAATCAAAGAGCACTCTGCAACCCACTAATGATGGATCTGGACCTAACTTGGCACACAGAACCCTCATGACTAACTAAACGTACTGGAGGGATTTGACGGGACTGACCCACCATCCTGCAGCTGGAGAGCATACTGAACCCCACCAATTATGCATTTAGAGCACATTTGCCCCACATGACAACCTTTAAGTATTGATTTCAGGGGGTTAATCTGGCATGATGTGAGTTGTAGTTCACCCACAACCTTATGCATTTTGTAAAATAAAAAATGACATCTTTTAATGATCCAGGCGATGCCGGGTACCCAAACTAGTTACAAAATAAAAATGCACTGCCTTAGTCCATCAATCTTGCCCTAGCAACCTCTACTCTTTGGTTTGAGTTCT